TGGAATTTTCCATCTAGACAAATTTGAAAGAGAGAAGACACATTTGTGAGGGAAAAGGTTGATAGGTTAACAAAATAATAATTAAACAGAGACTAACAGGCTGTGATGTCAGAAGGCTGGATACAACAGGATTTGGGTGCAGGTGAAGTGAATAGGTAGGTGGGGTCATTGGAGGTGTTCGGTAGGGTTTGTGCTATAGTTACATAATTTGTCACATGAATTTCATCATCATGGTGTATATAAGGGTGTGTTTGTATATGTATATGCAAATACATGTGCATGTTTTCATATACATAACTTGCAAATATAGGTTACCCTTTAAGAGTGGGGATGCAGAGCTTTATTAATTGCTTCTGTAAAAGAAAACAGGAGTGCATTGGGTTTTTGCTGAGTCCCAGGATTGACTTCTTTCTTTTCTCTGTACATAATCACAAAATAACTTGCAGACAAGTTTCAGTGACTTAATAGCTGCTGAGAAGACAGCATGCCTAAGCTTGCAGGAGAATGAACTTCGCTGGAGAGAATGCAGCCGGATTTGTAGCTGCAGCGAGCCACTTCGGAAGCTTGTCCCAGCTTGATTGGAAATTGCTTCCCCTGTTAGGTGGGAGGAGGTTTTTCTTTCCTGTTAGGTTTCTTTTTTCACCCATCTCACGCCTGCTTGCTTATCAGCTGAACCTTGATGCGATTTTATAAAGGGAAAAAGTCCCAAGGAAGAAATTTCTTCATAGTATTTAAAAGATAAAAGGATAAGGAGGAGATGCTGTTACTAATACGATGAGATAAACTTATTGCACTCTTAGTGTCAAGGTCCATTTTAATGTTGTTTATAAAATTAAATCTGGCTTTGTGATCAGATCAGAAACCAATGTTATGTAGAAGAGAAAAATAATTTCCCCTCTGTTTATCTTACGATTTTTTAAAATCTGTGTGTATATCGAAGCATTGCCATAAGTTTTCTCCAGTCAGGAAGTTTATCTTTAAATTTACAATATATTTCTGTTGTATTTAAAAAGGGGAAAACTTATCTGAAATGTCGTTTAGCATAAATTGATGCTAAGTATGAATTTGAAGCCAAAAAAAGTCACCTACATATTTTATCACCAATCGAATTTTTATTACAAATTACATACTTGAGCAGCTTCATTCATCCAGCTGAAGTCATTTCAGATGACCTTTCCCTCAGCAGACTCTGTCTGAACAGAATATTGTTCTGCTGTTAATTGTTTTGGACACAGTGTGTGAAAAATCTTAAGGGAGTTGAGTTCTGTTGTTCAGGGTTCACAGTACATAATTTTGCTTGCATGTTTACTGCTGGCCTGTCAAAGTATATGAAGGAATAAATTTCTCCCACAGATAACTAATCATGAAAATAGTCTTGAGGTGTTTGATTGACATAGTGAAGCTGTTAATTTAGAGTGTATCAAGATCAAATGGAAGTTATTGCAATTAGGAAGTGATTGTGTTCTCAGTTGAAATTTTTAAATGCTGCATTTTAGATTTTTGTGCATTTTTTATGCTGTCTCATAGATGTATTCGGGAATTTCTATGGTTTGTTACATTTAGATGCTTAATGTTCAACACAATTTCAGTGCAATTTTTACTTTTTTTGTAATAGCTGATATTTAATTGATTGAGGAGAGTTGCTGTACTTGTAATGTTTCTGTACTCTAAACTCTTTGTTTGGGAAACAAAGGATTCAGCGAATCTGGGGTTTTGTTGTTGTTTTTTTCTTTTTGTTTTACAACTTTGGTTCAAAATATTATGGTATCAGGCTAAAGTCTCCCTTCTTATTTCTCTGAAAATGGCTTATGACATGCTTATAGGTTCCTGGTCACTATAGAGTTCTGTTCCAAGGTTTGTGTGTATGAAGTTGTATTCAGTGTATCATTTATAGTAAGACCTTCTTGGGTACCATGGTGTGGCACAAACGTTAGAGTCAGTACTTTCATATCCATAGTCCTTGAATCTTGATGGTTCAGTTATTCTTGAAAGCCACATTTTTTTACCTAAGTGTTCTTAGAAAAAAAACTGTGGGATATCAAAAAGACATGTTTGATTCTCTCTATTGCTTCATCTTTTTAAAATCTATGTTCAAGCATATGGTATTGACAGATGACACACAGATTCTAGAGGGCAAAAGGCTTCTCATTGTCCCTAAAATTGCAGACACAGGTATGGTGGTGAAACAACCTGGCTTAGTTGAAAGTAGCTGTGGATACCTGATGAAGTCCCTAAAGCAATTTATCCTTAGCCCAGAAATGGCTATTTTTTTTTTCTTTGGATGAGTCAAGCAATTTTCTCATAGCTTCAATACTTCTGTTCCAGTGCTGAGGCTGCTGTTTCTCATTTTTTCATGAGCATGATATTCTCACCCATGCGCAGCTGCTAAGGAGTAGTTTGCTCCAAATTTAGGCGTTAAGTTCCATCTGCACTTTCAGGTGTCTGTAGCCTGATACTAGCTTATTTCCGTATTCAAGTCTGTAGAAAACAAGCAAGCAGAAGCCTCACCGTAAGAATAGTGCTGAACAGATAACGCAGCTCTTTGGTCTCGCTGAAGAGGCGTAGAGGCCATTAGCCAAGTCCTTGGGGATGCTTACTGAGACGCTCTCTCCGATTGACCCGACGGGGACAGGCTGTGCAGGGAAACAGTTTAGTTCTCTGCCCTGGAACGGAGGTTGCTGTGGCTGAAGTTCTGGCAGATTTTTTAGAAGATTAGTCTGCTAAGATTAGAAAATATTGGGGGAGGCGGGGGTTGATTGTAAATTTATGATAACAGTAGTAAAGAAAAATCCAATAAGCTTACATGCTTCTTTAGATTACACATACATCCTACCTTGGCTTTATCTCCTTTTTGGCTCGCAAGCTTTTATTCCTACTACAATTCATTAAGGAATATGAAAGCGTTACAGAAACTAAAAGATAATGTGCATCTGTCTCAGATTGTTCTATTCTGCAGCCACGTGACAAAAGATACATTCAAATGTGTGCAGTAACTAGTGCTTCTGTGACAGAAACAGGAAAATTAGGGTTGTAATTTTCCCAAAATTTGGGAAATATATTTTAGATCCAGTATTTTTTCCATGGACACAGTGCACCTTTCCATTCCTGACAGCTAGCACAGAAAGTTGTATTTGGATAATGGGATTCATAAGCAAGCCAGCCTACCTATGGCACATGGATAGGGGGTGTTAATTTTTCTCTTTAAAAAAGAACGCTGATGATGCGTTATGCTTTGTTATAAACAAAAGATGGTTAGAGATGAGCAAATAATGCCTAGTGAAAGGGAAAGGTCTGGTGAACACATTAAGGTTCATGCTTTTAATCAAGTGGGAAAAGGTAGAGCTGTTTTTCTTCCCACGGCTGTTCAGTTCTCTCAGCAGTCTGCCTGCCTTCCCATGTGACGTTTTCATGTTGCATTTCTAGGTCAGTGGTGACACAACTAGCATGCTCTTGCCCAAATTGATCATCTCAGTCTGCTGTACTCCACCTGGTTTTCACATCCATCTTTGCCGTAGTCTATGTTTGGATTTCAGAAGAGCCTGTCAGCTTTGCGTTTCCTCAGATCTTAAGAAACGGACGGCTCAGCAGGCACACGTTAACTTCTCCTGTGTCTTGTCCTGCTCCAAGTATCTCTGGGTAGGAGAAAAATGGGAAGAACGAGCTTTGCAAATAGGTGAGAGTGACAAGGGAAAAGTAGGTATAGAATCAGTGTCAGTAAGGGAGGTGATGTATTTGCTAAGATTATTAAAAAAATTGTCCAGATTAATTCTTCCAAAGAAGAACTCCTGACTGTTCGACATTAGTGTGCACCTTCTCGTGGATGTTCTCTTACTTTCCTCTTCATGTGGGTGAGAAAAGAACAACACACCTTGGGTTCATGAGCATCTTTCTGGAGGCCAGACACTGGGCCCACTGCAGAGAATTGCCTCCCTTTAATTGATAAAGTTACAACTGAAAGCAGTTACCAAGGATTTGTTATAACCAAAAGATGGTCAGAGACAAGTGGACAATGTCTACTGCAAGGGACAGGGCTGGTGAACAGCCCATCCCTCCCGATCCTCCTTTTGACAGCAGCCTCTTGTGCATAACCTCTGCAGAGCTTTACCATTTTCCTTCCTGGATGCTGTGCCCATGCCTGCTGCCCTCACGAGTGCCACCGCTCTGCGGGCACACCCCAGGGCCCCCACTCCCAGCCCGCCGCCACCCTGAGCTCGGCGGGAGGCGAAGCGAGCGGCCGGTCTCCTGCGCTTGCATGGCTTTTGGGTACATGGAAAGGCATCGCTGAGCAGCTCCTTGCTGGGGACACTGGCAGGTCTGGGACTACAATTCCAGGTGTTCAAAACCTGGGATTGTCCCAGCCAAGTTAAAATCAGGTGTGGAGAAGAACCAAAGGTGTGGGTAAGAAGACAGAGATGAAGAGCAGAGCTGAGACAGACAAGAAAACTGGCACTCAGAACTGGATTTGATGCTAAGCCTGGCAATAGCAGAGGGATGTGTCTTTGCAGATCTCAGCTGTGTAATTTTCTGTTTTTCCTAACACAGCTAGTTTTAAACAAAATGAGGTGAATGAGTAATTTTTGTATTTAATTTTCTTGCACTTAGTTTCTCCCCATGACTGCAAAGCTACCATAGATGATGATATCTTAAAAATTCTGTAGGTTTGCAAGTAAGAAAATATTTCTGATACAGCTGTCTTTTGGCTAATGAAACAGCAGCTAACGTGTGAGTTGGTATTAATGGCACATTCAGTAATGACACATGATTCAATTATTTTACTAAACAGAGAAGCACTGAGACACAAACATAAGATATTTCTGAATCTAGGCATCAGCTGGAGGTGATTGAAAATACACTATTTATGCATGTTTCGTCACATAATTACTGTGGAAAATGTTGTGGCATTGCAGTTAAAAGCAGGGTTTTTTCATGCTAATAGCTGAGGGAAGAGAATTCCCAATGATAAATGCTCTTCTATAATCCCACATTAATCTTCCTGACAGAAAGCAGAAGAAGAGGAGCTTGTCCTCACACCTGATGGCACCAGGGAATTCTTGACGTTTGAAGTCCCACTGAATGACTCTGGATCAGCTGGACTTGGTGTGAGCGTCAAAGGTAACCGGTCAAAAGAAAACCATGCCGATTTAGGAATCTTCGTCAAGTCCATTATTAACGGTGGAGCAGCATCCAAGGTGAGAGGGAACATCTCTGTACCTTTGTCTTTCTCGATTTTCCGTAATAAGGCTGTTTTGAAAATAACCACAGATTCAAGAGGAACAAGATTGCTATGTAACTAGCTTTTTCCAATTACACCATCAGAGGTAACATTTAGATTTCTACTCAGATTCACATGTTTGCGCATCCCAGGATTTAAACAGCCTTTACAGATTCTCAGGAAGGATACAAGCAATCTCTGGTACAGTTCAATTAGTATGTTATTTGTGCAAACAGGTTATGATAATAGCTTGCAGTGCAAATCTATAATTGGAATAGGCTTTTCTGACAATGGCTGCAGTGGAAGCTATTATACCAGTGTTCATTTGGCCATAAACTGTTAGGACTAAGCATAGTTGTTTGATTATTTTTCTTTTGTTGTTTTTTTTTTTCCTCCCTCCAGCGGACTAATCTTCTTTTGTGCATGTTTTATGTAACTGGCTGTAATCTTTCCATTTCCAGGATGGCAGGCTTCGAGTGAATGATCAACTAATAGCAGTAAATGGAGAATCATTATTGGGCAAAACAAATCAAGATGCTATGGAAACCTTGAGGAGGTCCATGTCCACTGAAGGAAACAAACGGGGAATGATTCAGCTTATTGTGGCGAGGCGAATAAGTAAATGCAATGAGGTAATACACTTTTGATATCGGGACTGGGAGTTTTCACTTCTAAGGTATTTGTGTTTATAGGAGATGTCATGTTTCCTCTGAGACCTGGAAAGTAATATTTGAGAAGCTAAAGAAAGAGAGAATTACAGAATGATCTGAATTTCAGTGTTAGACATGCTAACCTTATTACCGATCAATAAAGTTTTTCTTTTGAGTATTTTCATCAATGAATAACAGGAAACACTGAATAAAGCGATATTGATTTTGTAATTGGATCCCACTGTTTACGTGATCTTTGTTCTTTCGAGTTTTTTATTTAGGTCCATTGAATCTTTCATTTATAGACAGTGTTAACTGACTTGCTGCTTTGTCATTTTCAGTTTTTTTAATTTAGAGTGGAGCTCTTACATTTTATTATTATATTTTATCTAATCAGTGAAAAGATTCTGCAAAACTTGACACAAATGATTCTGTGATCTTGGATTTTAAATATGTTGTGTCTTGGCCATCACTGCAGGGAAGTATGAAATACTGAATTCAGGGTGTAATGATGGTTCTTTTTCTGATATTATTTGCAACTTCTGTCTCCTCCAGTGCAATGTTAGTATGTTGATGTTTTGAAACATACTCATGATTTCTAACAGCTTATCTTCTAGATTCATGTAAATAATGCTATCTAGTAGGAATATGTGGGCATATGATACTGAAAAGGACTGCAGATGCTGTGGAGGACTGAATTAGACTTCAAAATGATTTTGACAAATTGGAGAAATGCACTGAGTTATAGGGTGCTGTTGATAGTGGGTCAGGGAAGTATCTGTTCTTAAGACATGTAAAAGTCATTCTTTCATTCTTGTTAACACTGGTAAGGTCTTATCGGGAATGTTATTTCTTGAGCATCATGCCTCAAAAATGATGTGCACAAATTGGTTTAGTACTGCTGATCCTGCCTAGGCGGAAAGGGAATGGTTTAGTTTTTAATGCATAAAATCGATCTTTAAAAAATTCCAGTCTGTAGTATATTATAAAATCATGTTTGAAAAAGACACTAGCCTCTCTAAAGGTATTAAGCATCTCTTGATTAATTTCTTATACACAGCGTTAATACACATACACACATGTTATATATAAACACTGCTAGAAAGCCAGTTTGGATGCACATGGTTTCTCACTTGGTGTTGAAGGAATTTGGACCTTTTTGTGCTTGGTGGTGTCCTGTCTTAGCGCTAATTCTGAACTTGGACTCCTGACTGTCCTTTGCAGACTGTTCCTTATTCCTATCCAATTTCAGATCACAGATTTACAGAATCACAGAATGGTAGGGGTTGGAAGGGACCTCTGAAGATCATCTGGTCCAACCCCCCTGCCAAGGCAGGATCACCTAGGGCAGGTTGCACAGGAACGCGTCCAGTCGGGTTTTGAAGGTCTCCAGAGAAGGAGACTCCACAACCTCTCTGAGCAGCCTGTTCCAGTGCTCCGTCACCCTCACAGCAAAGTAGTTTTTCCTCACGCTGAGGTGGAACTTCCTGTGCTGCAGTTTATGCCCGTTGCCCCTTGTCCTATCACTGGGCACTGCTGAAAAGAGACTGGCTCCATCCTCCTGACAGCCACCCTTCAGATATTTGTAGACATTGGTAAGTTCCTCTGTCAGCCTTCTCTTCTCCAGACTGAACAGCCCTTGGTCTCTCAGCCTTTCCTCATACCAGACATGTTCCTGTCCCTTAATCGTCCTCGTAGCCCTCTGTTGGACACTCTACAAAAGTTCCCTGTCTCTCTTGAACCAGGGAGCCCAGAACCGGATGGAATACTCCAGATGAGGCCTCACCAGCGCAGAGTAGGTTTGCATTTGATATGCTACTACATAAAAAGGGTGAAATATTTTAGGCTCTTTCTGTGTTCAGTATTATTTTTTTTCAAAAAGGACGTGATGATGTTCACTTTTCTCTTAGTGAAGGTCTTCTAGATCAAATGTATCAAGACAGTGTTTGTAAAAATGATGGAGCAAATCCAGCAGTGATGAACCAAAGACATTGCGCCTTAAATCTGGTAGAATTTTTACTCACTCAAGTTAAGAATAGTTTGGTGCCCTACATCTGCTTGACATTTAGTGTGATTTATTTTGCAGAAATCAGATGCCAAAAACGTCACAGCTCAGTCTACAGTATATGTGCTCCAAGATGAAAGAACTGATGTTAGAACCAGATTTAGGTACACTAAAATGTAAATGTATAGGGGCAGGATAGGGAGCTGTGTCTGTCTGGGCCTGGTTTACAGTTTTTTGTGCATTTTCCCAACTCCTTAATAAGCTGGTGAAATGAGCCATTAACAATTTGGGAAAGTGATGATACACAATTATTGGTGTAGTGATCATCTTTACAAAATAATTTTTGTAACTATTTTTTCGCAGGAATCATTGCTTTCATCACATTCATGCAAAGGAAATACAATGTCAATACTGTTTGCATATTTTAATATGATGAAAGTACAACTTGTATGGACATAAAGCTATTTACCTGCTGAGCTGGCAGTATTCAAGAAGCCAGTTTTCTGAAAGTCTTGCAATGCCCAGACTTCAGTAAAATTAAAAGTGAAGCGAGACTTTTCCTTGGCATTTTGCAATTAAACCCTAGTTCCTTGTTCAAGAATTGGATGAATTAAAACTTTAGATACTGTTAATCTGATAAGCTGTCTTAGTATTATTCATGTGTCTTGCGTGAATGCCATATATGAGTATGGTATTCAGTCTGCTTAGCCCGTAAGTAACGGAGGTGTGGACCCAGATGGAGAGCTGCATTGCACAACTGAGCATTGCCATGATACTCACTTTCCCGTGGAGCATCAGGTATTGGCCATGTGCATAATTCATCAATGTAGATTACTTAGACATGCTGGTACACAAGTTGTCCCTTTAGAATATTCTTGTAGCTGCCACCAACAAAGATTTTTGGTATTAGAACAAAAAATAAACAACATCTGGCTGGCGGCAAATTGAGGAGCTTTCAGATTAAAAGTAAAAGCATCAGAAGGGCAGACCCTATCTTGATAAATCACACCTTTTACCAACATAGAATCATAGAATCATTTAGGCTGGAAAACACCTTTAAGATCATGGAGTCCAACCGTAAACCTAACACTGCCAAGTCCACCACTAAACCATGTCCCTAAGCACCACATCTACATGTATTTTAAATATCTCCAGGGATTGTGAGTCAACCACTTCCCCAGGCAGCCTGTTCCAATGCTTGACAACACTTTCGGTGAAGAAATTTTCCTAATACCCACTTTAAACCTCCCCTGCCACAACTTGAGGCCATTTTCTCTCATCCTGTCGCTTGTTACTTGGGAGAAGAGACTGACGCCCACTTCAGTACAACCTGCTTTCCTGTAGTTGTAGAGAGCCTCCTTTTCTCCAGGCTAAACAACCCCAGTTCCTCAGAAACGGGGTTTTACTATTTTATATTAAAGAAAAAAAAAAGTTTGCTTTTTGAGAAAGTATTTCCCTGGTGTTTTCTATGCTTTTCTCTCTTTTGGTTCTCCAAAGGAGTCACCATAAAATAACAGCAGCAACAAAAAAGATCCTGTACAAATGATTTTCTTTCCTGTGTTGATTCAGCATTGTATGTGCCCACTTCATGGACAAAAACATGGCTTACACTGTTGTTAGTCTTGCAGAACCACAGTTAAGTGGAACGAGCTTGATTATATTCCCTTTTGTGCATCGCCAGCTGCAGTGTTCATACCGCTCCGTTCCAGTGGCATGGCCGGTCCTGCACTGCGGCGTGAGGTCAGGGCTCTGCGCCCTGGGATTCCCCCCTGTGCCACGGAGCAGCCGTAACTGACTCCGAAGGAGAATCCATACAAGGGGTGATAATGCCAATGCAGAAAAGAATTATGCTCAATGTCTGGACGATAAAAACATTTGCTATCTGACTGTTAAAAAAACAGCAAAAAGAACAAAAAACCCAAGCCTTTTCTTTTTTTCCTGGCTTCAAGTCCAGTAATTGTTTTGCATTTGCAAAATCAAACTGAGTTCTTTTGAGATAGATAGGCACACAATCTGCTTTTTTTCTTAAGTAAAATTGAGTTTGAATTGGATTTTAAGAAAGTTAGTAGTATGAATACAGTTTGTATGTTTTTAATATTAAATTTCATAATCAGCCCTAAGAATGGCAGGGCAGGGAGAATTCATGTGACAGCACAGTTCTGCAGAGTGCGACTTCTGTGTGTTTCAGTTCAGACCAGAATTTTCATGTGCTTTTTGTATTTTGGTTGCTGTCTAGAATAGAGGATGGCTCAAGCCCTGTTGTCCTGGGTTTACAGAGGCAAGAACAGTTGCCTCCGATCTGCTGCAGAGGGGCTGTTTCTTTGTCAGAAAGCTTTCAGAGGCTTCAAAAGTTAACGTCTGCTTAACTTGAGCATGAAACCGTTTCAAAATTTTGTGAAGTTCTTTTTTTAGGAAAGCAAACTTCCAGCTCTTCAGGGTGTAAGTCAATAGGACCCCCTGGGAAACAGCCCTCAGGGACAAGGGAGCAGAACAGAGCTGGCAGATTTTTAAGGACACTTTCCATAGAGTGCAAGAGCTCTTGATCCCCAGGTTGTAAGAAATCAGGAAAGGAAGGCAAGAGACTGACATGGCTGAGTGGAGACCTGATGGTCAAACTAAAGGGCAAGAAGGAAATGCACAGGCAGTGGATGCAGGGACGGGTATCCTGCAAGAGTACAGGGACGCTGCCTGGTTGTGTGGGGAGCTGGCAGATTTTTAAGGACACTTTCCATAGAGTGCAAGAGCTCTTGATCCCCAGGTTGTAAGAAATCAGGAAAGGAAGGCAAGAGACTGACATGGCTGAGTGGAGACCTGATGGTCAAACTAAAGGGCAAGAAGGAAATGCACAGGCAGTGGATGCAGGGACGGGTATCCTGCAAGAGTACAGGGACGCTGCCTGGTTGTGTGGGGAGGGGCTCAGGAAGGCCAAGGCATGGCTGGAGCTGAACTTGGCAAGGGATGCAAAGAATAAGAAGAA